AACATAAAATAAACCAAATTTAATACATGAATATTGGGTTTAATAGCCTGCTACTAATTCATCTTCAGCTTCTAGTAAATCAAAAGGCAATCACTCACCTTCAGCTAGGGGAAAGATAAAAAAAAATATGATAAATGCTGTAAGTAGACGCAGCAAATTCCATCCCTGAAACTAAATTTTGATGGCGCCTCAATTCACACCTGCTAATTTTCTGCAGATAAATTTCAAATTAAATTGCTTTCTCTCCTTTTCTCTCTGTTTTTGTTTCAATGGCATGATAAAAGGTGAATTAAGACTCATCAAGATCCTTGCTTATTTTATCTTGTTGAAATTGACTCATGATGCATTATGTAGTATGTTATGGTCCTGTACATTGTAGAAATCTGTTTTTCATACAAACCATACCCAAAACGTAAAAGCAATTTACAACATATATTTCAGCTTTCTTCCGGCTCCTTGATAGTATGTGGTTGTTGCTTTCCACCAACGTTAGCTCTGTACATTGTACTAACCATCCTCTGAACGAATTATTTTTCTAGTAATGAATATTTTTTTCAGGTTTTTTTATTCAATGGGAGGCCGAATGCCCAGAATTCTGAGACCTCTGAATAAAAACTCCAACTTTTAACCATTAGAAATAATTTTCAACTCCTTGATTCATTTTCTTTTGATTTATTTTCTACGTTAGATGTTAATCATAAATATGGCAAATATGACAACAAAGCTTATGTTCTATGCACCATGCAATATATATTAATTAAGCTCCAAGCATGGAGTCAGGGTTGCATCAACGCTATTGTTAAAGAATAAAAATGATACTGTAGATAAAATTATATATATATATATATATATATGATTTTATTAAATATATGAACGGGTATAATTTTTATCTAAAGTATTTTTTCAAAAGAATAGGACCATCATTTAATTCTTTTTTTAAATTTGATATATAATAACTTGATTTATATAAGAAATGAAGTGAAGATTTCTGTTACTTAAAGACACGAATTAATTTGGATATGTATTGCAAAACAATATTTGATGATATGATACTTTGAAGAGAACTTTTGATTTATCTTTAAAGTGTTGTTGAAGAATTTTTATGGGATATTTATGCTTCATCTAACAGAATTTTATTTCTTATAGACTTCAAAAATAGATGAAAGAGACTTAAAAACTTTTAAGAAAGCTTCGTTAGTTAAAGAAAAAGTTTTTTTAATTGAAAAGCTTGTCTAAAGAGAAATTTATATTTCTTATAATTGTTTCTTTCTAGGTTGAGACCTTTTATTTATAGAGGTTTATAGAGCCTCAAATTCTTTTCTAATATCATATGATATAATTTTATTAATTGATATTTATAAAGATTGATTTATTTTTCATATCATTTATTTTAATTTTTTTTAAATAACAAAATAATTATTTCACTATTCTAATCAACAATTAACTATATCTTGGTGCATGGTGAGAGGCAAATGGCTTCCAATGTTTTTTTTTTTTTAATACTAATGATTAAATTCAAACCTATTTATGATTTAAAAAAACCCTGAAAGATAGGCTATTTTTTAGAATGAATTAATTCTACGCTAGATAGAGATTGACCTTCAAGTGCAATGGCAGAAGGGAACTTAACTACAAGATCCAGAAAGGACCAAAGATGATTTTAGTATGCATGTTTCCTGTCATGTATTTCAATTTTTTTTTTATTCTTTCTTGTAAAAAATAAAAACAAAAATAACACATGATAAAATTTGATTGGTAAAAAAAATTTAGCTTCTGCGTATACATCTGATAGAAATTATTGAAGCATGATCTATATTAACAAGTCCATAGATATTTCCTGATTTCTATTTTATGGTTATAAATGCATCTTGAAATATATGGAGTCGAATACCGCAATCACCACCGACTATAGTGATCTGCAACCGGAAATCCTGTCAGAATAAGGCAAGCTTAAGTTTGAGCTTGCTATAAAATGCCGATAAATTATGCAGCAGAGAAAAAAAGGTGCCCCGTTCATTGTATAAAACGGACGGGAGCATTCACTTGAATTTCTTCTCCAAGTAACTTTCTCCCCCCATCGTGGCAGCGATCCTCTTTTTCACAACCTCTGTAATATGGATTTGCCGGCACGTCGTCACATGATTTGGGATTTTTCGGACTGCATTCACGATTCCCTCCTCGACCAATAGCTCCATAGCCAATCACGGGAGAGGGAGTTTTGGTGTCAGCAACAGTTGGTACACCGGCCGCTTCTGCAAAAAAAAAACATCCCACCATCACGGCGAGCCCAACAACCATCAATGTTTTTGACATTGTTCCGAAAGGTGATCGATCGACAGGCCAATGAGCACTGCTTGTGTTAACAGGAGGCAGGGATTGAAGAAATATTGAGAGCTAATCGGCTGTATTTATACATCAGCCTTGCCTATAATAAGGCACCATTTATTTCTCTGGTTGGCCTTGACATTCTCTGTCATGAAATGTGTTCGAAGTGTTTTGGTTCATTTAATATTTATTTTCAGATAATAAATTTTCCACATACGTTGTTTTTTTCCTGAAAGCAGAAAGAAAGGGGTCTCTGGTATTAAAAAAAAACGTGATTTCTTCATCAAGTGCACATATTAAGGCTTGGATAGACTAGATAAAGATCTATCATTTTTCTTTCCCACGGTTTCTACTTGTGCTTTCTTATGTTCTCTTGGGTTTCCGCTTGTAATTTATTGAAACTTTGTGATGATATTGCTAATATTTGTTATCAGAGCAAGATCTCTTGTCTGGTTTCGGGTTCCGTACGTTAAAATTTGTGTTTGCGATCTCTTTTATTGCATTATAAAGGGAATTTATAATTTTAAAATCACATATTTCCTCGTCAAGTGCACAGATTAAAGCTTGCGAAGACTAGATAAGATCTATCAATTTTCTTTTCTGTAGTTCGGTATTTGTGTTTTCTTGGAATCTTATTGCTATGGCTAGAGATGTGTTCTATTGGGCTTCTGCCTTTAATTTATTTAAATTTCGTTATGATATTGCTAATATTTGGTATCCCAGCAATATCTCTAATCTAGTTTTCGGTTCTGTTGAAATTTATGTCTGAGATCTCTTTAATTGTATTATTGTTATTCATTTTGGGACCCACATAAATATACAAAGAAATGAGAAAAAAAAAAGGAAATACAAAAAAAAAATTGAAAAAGTTGGGAAAATAAAAAATATATACCAGTGGGTAGGTCATGAAGAATGTCTAAAAAATTTACAAATACTGGATGGGGATGATCAAAATTGAAAAATTGACAATTCAATTTTAACTAATGGAGGCTTTATTAACAAGAAAAAATCAATTTGAAAAGATAAATTCAAGATTTGAAATTTAAAAACTCAATTAGATTTTTTTCTAGTGTTTAATTGAATTTATTGCTGGTTTAATTGCAAGAAAAATTAGTTTTGAGTTCAATTTGAGCTTAATTAGAAAAAAATTGAAGTTTAGGGTTGAATTATAATTTTAGAAAGTTAATGTGATCAAATTAGAAATTTAATTATATAAATAGTAAAGCTTGAAAGGTAATTAGAGACTTGAATAACAAATTCAAAGTCATGACAAAACCATAAAACACGTGAGTCTTAAGAAATTGAAATCAACAAAATCAATGGTAGAATTGAAGAAAATTAAAAGTTTAATGATTAATAGAGGGTTAATTTTTATAAATAAAAAATTGAGAATCGAATTGCAAATGATACTGAACTTTGAGGTTGATAATTAAGTTTAAGAGGGATATGGTTGCATGAAATTCAAAGTTGGAAGGCAATTATGGGTGGAACTAAAAAAATCAAAAGATCAGGGACTAAACAGAAATTGGCCAAATCCCAAATTAAAGTAATCATCTCTATTGACTTATCACCGGAATCATTAGTACTATTATTGTCAAGTAAATGTTTGGGAAAATATCGAGTTTATAAAGCATAGTATTACAACTGTGATGGACTAATCCACTTTATTCAGACTGATTGCCATTCATTGGGGAGATATATGGAGAAAAAAGAAGCGATAGCAGGGCTTTACGTACGTAAAGAGAATGCATGATAAAAAGTATTGTTTGGTGTTGCGACCGTAATAACAAACAGGCACTGAGTTTATGCTCCATTTTTCACTTAAATGAGATGAAACTGAAACATGTTGTATTGTTGCTGCTGCTGCTACAAAATTAGATGCGTGATATACAGGCATTCACTACAGAGTTGATTTAAATCTTATATTTGGTTGATTGATTTTGATTTGTGTTGATAAAATCTTGGATCATGTTTTGTGCATCATTTTTTTTCATTAAAGAACTCTTAAAATGCTTAAAATGTGTTGTAGACATGATTTTCGAGGAGCTGCGGAAATTTTAGCCATTGCATGAAGAAAGAAAGATCAAATGTTGAAGAGAAATGAACTGGTTGTTCTCCTTTACAACCAAAAACCAATTACAAGTTTGATAGTTATTTTTGTGTTTTCTTATCAACATGATATGTGCAATGATAGAGTGTTAAGGTTGATAGAAATGATCATCTAAGCTTAATTGTTTAGTCTTATCAGCATGCCATTGAAATTTGATGGAACAGAAGATATGGTAGCATGAGAATTTGCACAAAGATCTTGTGTGGTTTTTTTTTCCTCCCCCCTATTGCTTTGATGGTGTGAGCACAAGGGGAATTGAGACTCAAGAATACTTATTTTAGTGATTTAACAGGTGATTATGATTCTGATTTCCAGGCTGAGCTTCCTTTTAAAGATGAAAACATTGTGGCGATTTATGAATTATTGGATAGTTTCTGCGAATTCATCATTACCAACCTGTCATACATCTGCTGGCACAAGTATGTAGAGAACTTTTGAAATGAAGTTTCAAGTTACATGTGGATCATAAATATTTCTTCTTTCTTTCTTCTGACCCCATGGTGTGTGTTTCTAAAACCATTTCGTTTTCGGAAACTTGTGGTTAATTTCAGGATTTGTCCTAACGATGTCAATGAAGCAGTTTCAAGTCATATATTTGCATCTGCAAGATGTGGGGATATACGGTAGCTTCGTGCTGTCTGGAAGCTCTTTGGACAGCATTATGGACAGATTTGAAAAGACAGCTCTTAAACTATCTCCTGGGAACTTTATTAATCTTCAGGTTTTATATCATTGCTTATAAGTTATAACAAATATCTTTTAAAAGTTTCTGCTATAGTTCATAGTTCATACAATTCAGTCAGTATATATGTTAACGCACCGGAAAATTGTAACCTCGTGTAAAAGAGAAAATCTCTATTATGTCAGTTCCTGATGTTGTGAAGAAAAGATTGGTGGATGAGATAGCTAAAGATTTCTGCTTCCGACCAGAGATTTTGGCACTTGTATACGTTTCCGATCTGCAGCAGCAGGTATTGATACTTTCTGTTAATATGTATAAGCTAATGTTTTGGCTATTCATATAAAGAAATATTGAAGTTCTTTGTTTCATGTTACTACAGGAAGAGGAACATAGAGAACATCAGGTCCTGGATACAGATGTTCAAAATTATGCTAGCAAAATAGAAGAATCTCAAATTGCGGTTTTAATTGACAACAATCTAAAAGGGAAAACTCTATACGTTGATTCAATGTCAACCAGCCGAAGCTCTTCACTATCAACTCACTCTTGTCAGAACAGTCAAACAAGTAGTAGTTCCATGAATTCTTCTATATCTCAGCAATCTTCACCGGATGTGCTGGTATATCCAATGCACAACAAAGCAGAGAAAGAGTACAATTTCTCTAGACTTGATTCACTGTCAAAATATGAAGTGGTTGCTCTAGGCACCGAAGAAAACCAGTGGCTAGTAGCTATGAAACTACTGCTCCAGAACACAAAGGAGAAAGAAAGATGGCAGCGCCTTCTTCAGAAAGTCGACGTCAGTTTCCAGAGGAGATGATAATCTATCTTGATTATGTAGAGGAGGTTCAATCCATTACAAATCAAGGAAGCTGCCAGGACAAGAGAATTTTCAAGTTCAAATCATCTCCAGCCCTGCCTAGAAAAGAAAAGGTAGAAAAGCAGTTGTGACATAAAACCTCCGGATCAGTATGAAACAAAGAGTGAGAAGTCTAGTTCAAGTAACTCAAGAACTAGGGCGGATGAAACTGTTAGAAGATCAAGGAGATCATTATCTCGAGAGCATTCAAGTGTCAAGGATATCGAATACGTGATTTATTACGACACACCATGCAAGTTATACACGACTGATCAGAAGCACAGATCGCATCTTCCCAGTAATCATCACAAGAATGTTGGTGGGAGAAACCACTTGTGGTGGCTTTGAAACACTCAGAGGGGATAAAACACACTCTTTTATTTCAAGAACAAAGCTTACAATAACATAAACAAAAGCTTACAACAACCCCTCTCTCTTTCTCTCTTTCTCTCTAGTGTTTCTCTCAATCTCTCCACACATAATTGCATAAGCTTAGCTATCTATTTATACACGAAATCAAAACAAGAAAAGAAATCCTTCAAGTGTGACGGCGGTTTTTGGCCGACGGTGTGAAAGCGGCCGGCGGCCGGTGGCCGGTGGCTGGCGGCTGGTCGGTTGGTGGCTGGGCGGTGACAGCTGGTGGCTGCCTTCCTTGACCTTCTGGATTGAGTTTACTTCAACAAATCTCCCCCTTAAACTCAATCGAGGGATGTCATTCCAAGCATGAATTTCAATCTGATAAATACTTCTCTTTTCAATGGCTTGGTAAAGATATCTACAACTTGATCATCTGTCTTGCAGGATATCAGCTCGACTTCTTTGTTCTTTACATGCTCTCGGATGAAATGATGACGGGTATCAATATGTTTATTTCTTTCATGATACACCGGATTCTTTGCCAATGCAATCGCTGATCGATTATCGATATAAATCTCTGTAGGATTTTCTTGAGGAAATCCCAAAAACTTTAGCAAATTCCTTAACCATATTAAATGGCATACAGCTGAGTTGGCGGCAACATCCTCAGCTTCACAGCTTGATAACGTGACAATTGATTGCTTTTTGGATGACCATGTGAAAGATGTATCTCCCACGAAAAATACAAACCCTGTTGTACTTTTTCTTTCATCCAGATCTCTACCCCAATCACTATCTGAGTAGCCAGTAAGATTGAAATTTGTACTTGAGGTATAAAACATACCTTCATTTATTGTGCCTTTGATGTAGCGAAGAATTCTCTTGGCTGCATTCAAATGAGACTGGTCCGGCTTCTCCATATATCTACTGATCAGTCCGACTCCGTAGAGTATATCTGGTCTGGTACATGTCAAGTACCTTAAGCTTCCTACCAAGCTTTTAAAGTAAGTTGGATCAACATTTCCAACTTTACTTTTTCTCAATTCCACTCCATTCTCAACTGGAGTTGATACCAGATTGCAGCTTTCCATCTTGAACCTTTCAAGAATATCTTTGGCATAACTGCTTTGGGATACAAAAATCCCTTCTTCTTTCTGCACCACTTCTAAGCCAAGAAAATGTGCCATCAGACCAATGTCTGTCATCTCAAACTCTTGTACCATGCTTTTCTTGAAGTCTTCGAACATGGTAGGATTGTTGCCGGTGAATATCAAGTCATCAACATATAGGCACACAAATAATATGCTGCCATCTGCTTCTTTCTTCACATAAATTGCATGTTCATATGGACATTTTTCAAATCCATTATCTTGAAAATACCTGTCAATTCTGGTATTCCAAGCACGCGGAGCTTGCTTCAAACCGTAGAAGGCTTTCTTCAACTTGTATACTTTGCCTTCATTTTCATCATCAATGTATCCAAGTGGTTGTTCAACATAGATCTCTTCTTCTAGGAAGCCATTCAGAAATGCTGACTTCACATCAAGTTGATAGATCTTCCATCTATGTTGTGCTGCTAGTGAGATCATCAATCTGATTGTCTCTAGCCGGGCTACTGGAGCAAACACTTCTCCATAGTCAATGCCTTCTCTTTGTTTGTAGTCTTTCGCCACTAATCTTGCTTTGTATCTTTGCACTTCTCCTTTTGCATTCTTCTTTGTCTTATAGACCCATTTGACACCTATTGCTTTCTTGTTTTCTAGTAGATAAGTCAGCTTCCAGGTATCATTCTTCTCAATGGCATGTATTTCTTCATCCATTGCTTTTATCCACTTCTCTTCTGTGATAACTTCATTGAAGCTAAGTGGGTCACTATCTGCAAAGAAACAAATTAGAGTTGTATCTTCCATTACTTGAGTGGCGTCATACAGCTCTTCTAGATTTCTCATCCTTCTTGGTCCTTCTGATGAGGATGCTGATGACGATGGTATTGATGATGATTCTGACGTGTTTCTCCTGTTGAATACAGGAAATCTGTGTACCGGACTTTGTGGCTCATCTTCTGGTACTATTGGACCTTCTGCAAGTATTGTTGGTACTTCTTCATCTTCAAGGATCAAATCAGTGCTGATCCATTTAACTGCTTTTTGGTTATCATTCCATTGCCAAGTTTTATCTTCTTCAAAGATAACATCTCTGCTCATAATTACCTTCTTGGTGATGGGATTATACAGCTTGTATCCCATTCTTCTCTCACCATATCCGACAAAGATGCATTTCTCACTTTTATCATCAAGTTTGGTCCTTCTTGCATCTGGGATCTTTGCATATGCCACACAACCAAAGACTCGAAGATGAGTAACACTTGGTTTGTGACCACTCCATGCTTCTTGTGGAGTGACAGCTTGCAAACTTCTGGTTGGGCAGCAGTTCAGCAAATACACTGCACATGATACAGCTTCAGCCCAGTATTGCTTGGGCAGCTTCTTTGCTTTGAGTAGACTTCTTGCCATATCAAGAATTGTTCGATTCTTCCTCTCAGCTACACCATTCAGCTGTGGTGCATAAGCTGGTGTTATTTGATGTCTGATGCCTTGTTGTGTACAAAATGCTTCAAAGTCATTTGCTGTATATTCTCCACCTTGATCAGATCTCACGGTTTTGATCTTATAGCCACTTTGCTTCTCAACAATTGCTTTAAAATCTTTAAAACAATTGAACACTTCTGACTTCCTCTTCAAAAAATATACCCATGTCTTTCTGCTAAAATCATCAATAAAAGTGAGGAAGTACCTATTTTGTCCAGTCGACATAGGCTTTATAGGACCACACACATCTGTGTGTATTAACTCTAGTGGATCGTTTGCTTTCCAGTTGACTTCTTTGGTAAAACTGGATCTGTGATGTTTGCTGAGGACACAACTCTCACAGACTTCTTCTGGATGATCAATGTGGGGCATACCTTTGACCATCTTCTTGCTTGCTAGCATCTTCAGACTTGTGAAATTCAGATGTCCAAGCCTCAGATGCCAAAGCCATTCTTCACTGTTGGTGATGACACTCAAACACTTTGCTGCATCATATTGGATGTTTAAAGGAAACATCCTATTCTTGGACATTTCCACATAGGCAATTAATCTCCCATTGTAGTATGTAATTGTTAGATGACAATTCTTCATGTAAAGTGTATAACCTTTCTCCAGAAGTTGACCTATACTCACCAAGTTCTGCTTTATATCTGGGACATAATAGACATCGGCGATGTAGCTTTGATCGTCATTCTTCAACTTGATTCGGATGTTGCCTTTACCTTTGAATGGAACTTTTGAGGTATCTCCAAAGGTGACAAAACCTTGTATGGTCTCATCTAGATCACCAAATAAATCTCGTTGACCACACATATGATTGCTGGCTCCAGAATCAAGATACCAAATATTCTCTTGATTCTTGTCAAGTCCTTGTTGGACAAATAATGCAGCTGCTCCTCTGTTGTTGGCATTCTCTTCTGCATAGTTGACTTGCTCACGTATCTCCAGTGGAGCTTTCTTTTGACATTCAGTGCTATAGTGGCCAAATTGATTGCAATTATAACACTGAATATTCCTCTTATCACGGTTATTGTAACCGCCTCCTCTTCCTCTAGGAGTGAATGCTTGTTGTCCTCGACCTCCTCTGGTGGTGTTTCTACCACCTCTTCCTCTAAAACCTGTATTCCAAGAACCTCTGCCTTGAAATCGTTGAAATCCTCCTCGTGTTTGTTGACTTCTTCCTCGAGTGGTGTATCCACTTGTTGAAGTCTCCCCTTGCTCATATCTGTCTTTGAGAGACAACTTTGCTTGTAAGGCATGCTCAATTGACTTATCTCCATTTATTTTTATAATCTTCTGCTCATGAGCTTGTAAAGAACTCATAAGTTCATCCACTGTTAACTTGTCCACCTCTTTGGACTCTTCAATAGCGACAACAACAAAATCAAATTTTGGATCTAGAGATCTCAAAATTTTCTCAGTAATTCGAGCATCTGAAAGGGCTTCTCCGTTTCTTCTCATCTGATTGACTATCACCATAATTCTTGTGTGATAATCAGAAATGGATTCTGAGGACTTCATTTGTAATAATTCAAATTCACCTCGTAAAGATTGGAGACGAATCTTCTTTATTCTGTCAGCACCTTTATATTTTTTTTTGAGAGCCTCTCATATTTCTTTTGATGTTTCTGCGGAAGCAATGATTTCAAATGTCGCTTCATCAAGACCTTGATAAATGATGGTCTTTGCTTTGTTGTCTTTCTTTCTATTGGCTTTGAGGACTTGCTTCTGTACCTCTGGTAGAGCATCTTCTGATTCTTTGGACTCTGGTTCCTCATAACCATATTGCACAATGTCTATACACTCTTGTGAACCAAGGAATGCCTTCAATCTGATGCACCAACTATCATAGTTATCTTTGGTTAGCTTCGGAATGAGTGTTTGTGCATTTTCTGTAGTCATTTTGCTCTTTAAATGACTATATCACCTTTTTTGGAGTTGAATTTGGCAAAACCGACACCGTAGATGGATCCGGAATGGTCCAAATAGTAGGGAACCGGTCTGACTTTGTAGAAAACGGGTCAAAAATCAGGTGAACCGGTCCAAAAACCAATTCGGGTGGTTTGCTGGGTTGAACCGGGAATATTCCAAGGAATATTTTTTTTTTGACTTTGACTTTAGAATATGGCTCGGAGCTTGGCTTGGCTTCGGAATATGGCTTGGAGCTCGGCTCGGCTTCGAAATATGGCTTGTGGCTCGGCTCGCGACTCGGCTTGAGGCTTGGCTCGGCGCGGCTCAAATATGGCGTGCGTGTGGCTCACTCGTCTTCTTCCTCGGGGCGCGTGGGATACAGTGCTGAAATTTCAGACGGAGAGTGTGGTCCACCTCGTGCTCCGATTGATCTGATTTTTGCACCGTTGAGTTCGTATTGATGAGCTCTACACTTTGGAATGATCAAAACTTGTTTTTGACAACTTTGAAAATTCGGATATTTCCCAAAAATACCTCTGTTTTCTGACGAACAGGGCTCTGATACCAATTGTTGGTGGGAGAAACCACTTGTGGTGACTTTGAAACACTCGGAGGGGATAAAACACACTCTTTTATTTCAAGAACAAAGCTTACAATAACATAAACAAAAGCTTACAACAACCCCTCTCTCTTTCTCTCTAGTGTTTCTCTCAATCTCTCCACATATAATTGCATAAGCTTAACTATCTATTTATACACGAAATCAAAACAAGAAAATTCAACCTTCAAGTGTGAAGGCGGTTTTTGGCCGACGGTGTGAAAGCGGCCGGCGGCCGGTGGCTGGTGGCTGGCGGCTGGCGGCTGGTCGGTTGGTGGCTGGGCGGTGACAGCTGGTGGCTGCCTTCCTTAACCTTCTGGATTGAGTTTACTTCAACAATGGCGAACATATACGCTACCTGATAACCAAGGCAAATTGGGAGGCTACTCAGGAGCTGCCATTTGGGGAAGCAGCCCCGCTATTGATGTAACTAGGAGACTGGTTTACGTCGGAACTGGGAACCTCTACACAGCTCCTCGAGAAGTGACCCAGTGCCAAGAAGCACAAAACAATCAGACAACAAAACCAGCCCAGCCAGACCAGTGCATCGGGCCAGATATCCACTTCGACTCAATTTTGGCTATCAATATCGATACTGGAAGGATTAAATGGTCAAGGAAACTGAGTGGCTATGATGTTTTTTACTTTGCATGTTTGGTTCCTAACAACCCTGATTGCCCTCCAGGACCTAATCTGGATGCAGATTTTGGAGAGGCACCCATGTTGCTTACCATCACCGCTAACCGAACTAGACGTGACGTTGCAGTGGCTGTACAAAAGAGTGGCTTTGCCGTGGCTCTAGATCGAGACACTGGATCTATAGTCTGGTCTAAAGTAAGCACGAAACTAATGAAAAATAATAGAAAAACCAAAGGGTTCTTCACTAACAAGTACTGTACCTCCTCAGGATCATAACATTCGCTAATAAGATCTGATTTCTATTTATGTAGCTGGCAGGACCAGGTGGTTTGGAGGGAGGAGGGATATGGGGGGCAGCTACAGATGAGAGGACAGTGTATACGAACATTGCCAACAGCAATCGAGAGAGATTCACACTGGCGCCGTCGAACCAGACAACAACAGTAGGAGCATGGGTAGCACTGGATGCAAACTCAGGCCAAATATTGTGGTCCACAGCAAACCCCAGCAACGAAGCTGCTCAAGGACCCGTAACAATAGTAAATGATGTACTCTTTGCAGGATCGGTGGCTCCAAACGGCCCCATAGATGCAATGGATGCCAAAACTGGCAATATTCTGTGGTCATACAACACTTGTGCGACTGTATATGGAGGTGTCTTAGCAAGTTACGGGTGTATCTATCTTGGGAATGGCTATTCAATTGGCCTGGCAAGGTTCCACCCTTCTTGGACTGGTGGAACTTCACTCTATGCTTTCTGCGTTGCCTAAGTGGCAGCTCGATCGAACCTGGCGAAATGAATGAACCTAATAAAACCATCATGTTACTTATCTCCTTTGTCTCTATTTCCTAAGTGCTGAGATAATATGTGTCCTTTTAAATTGAGACAATAATATCATATAAAGTTGCCTGCTTTATATGATAAGTAACCTTATCTCGATAAGAGACAATATCACTTCTTTTTATTAAAAAATCTA